ATGATTTTCTTCAAATTACTAATACTTTTCATTTACATTTACATCTTTTTAATTAACCGTCGTAAGTACGGCATTAAGTTTTGGACAAAGTGTAGACCATTTTGTAGTGGACGATATTTCATGTCTTCGAGCTTGATTTTAGTGTGGAAGCAATATAATGTTTGGATCCAATCGGTTACTACCTTCAAAAAACAATCGTGGGCACCAGCTGTCTTACGAACAAACGGAAATTCAAATTCTATATCGATATCCTGCAAAAACATGGACTTATAATTTTTTAGGCAGATGTATGCCAGTATTCATAGCCCCGAAATCCCAAATTTTGAATCTTTACACCCTTCACCACACTGTGGTACAGGGTATTATGTCGTTGTGCATATGTTTGTAACAGGCAAAAGGAATAGATATAGACTCATGGTTTCCTTTGAGAATATACATAGAATCACTTTCTGAGTCGATTTATGCATGTCCGTCTGTCCGTACGTCCATGTGTTTATGAGAACAAAGTACAGGTCGCATTTATAATCCGATTTGGATTTGGCCCAAGGATGAACCCTGTTGAAATGGAGATATGGCTCCCATATATTTTCGTCAGATTTTATGTAAATAGTGCCCCAAACACCCAATAATTGTCCAATCGGGGCAGATTTAGATATAGCTCCCATATATAGTTTCGCCCGATTTTATGTAATTGGTTCACCAAACTCCCGATATTAGTCCTATTGAGACAAAATTTTGCACAGCGTACTAAATTAGGTTCAGCTTGATGTATGTAAAGTTTTTTTGAAATCAGTTCAAAATTGGATATAGCTTCCGCAATTGGATTTTCGTCCGATTTTTTTGTAATTGGTGCACCAAACTCACGATATTTGTCCGATTGAGACAGAATTTTCTACAGCGTACTCGATTAAGCCTAGATTCATGTATGTGAAGTTTTGTAGAAATTGGTTCAGAATCAGATATAGTTCATATATATAGTTTCGTCTGATTTTATGAGACAAAATCAAATGGCATATGCCACAGTTGAACAATGTGGTCCAGATTTACATATAACTCCACATAGATTATTTTGTTCGATTTTATACACCAAAAAATGCGATTGACATGAAATTTTAAAGATTTCGCCCTTTCAATGGCCCTCTAAAGATTATATGTCTGTTCAAGGTATAGGATATTGCATATATTAGCATCTCTTGAATGTATCCCAAGTGGTGAAGGGTATATAGTATAAGGTATATAGTCGGCCCCTTCCGACTTTTGAACTTTCCTTATTTTTTTTTTTTTTTTTGAAAAAGGCGTCTAAATCCCTCAAAATACCAACAAATGAGCTGCATTTTTATATGTAGGCTATCGTAGGAATAATAGCAATGCCAGTGCAAAATTGTATAGCCACATCTTAATTTGAGAATGATTAAAGTCTATCGATACTTTGTATTTCACTACCATACGACCAATTAAAAACAATTCGAAAATTGCCAAAAATTTAAATCCCCTTCGTTGTCTTTATATATGTGCGATCGATTTTTCTATACTATGCATTGGTGATTCTTATTCAAATTCTCTAAACCTAATAAATCAAATATTTCTATATTTCTAATGATCTTTTAATAACAGCTCATAATCAAATTCGATATTTAACTAATCATTAATTAACTAATTTGATGATGGATTTCAGTTCAGTTTGAAGTGACGAATTGATGTTGCCTTTTGCAAAATCATAAAATATTGAATGAAAACACATCGAAAACCGACCCAATTATTTTTATGCAAAACTGTAAAGAAATTTACGATTGCCAATTTTTATTTTCATTTTTTTCTAAAGTTTAAAACAAACCCCCCAAACAAATAAATCAAATATTTCATCAGAGTGTATTCAAAAAAATCACTCATAACTTTATGCAAATTTCGTCTTTATTTATTGTGTGAATGTGTAAAGAAATAAATTCAATATATATTTTAACAATTTAATTGTTTATACGCACACATACACAATAGATGGAGAGGTAGCAAAACAAATAGGTTTACAATATGCGAATGTGTGTTTAGAAAGGTTTGCATTTGGCCTGAAGAAGAAAATTCCGAAAATCGGGGGTTTCGATTAAAATATTTGTTTACAAATATTATTTTTTTTGTTGTGTCTGGCTGCCGTTTTGTTTGATTCGACAAAACGGTTCCAAAATTATGGGTCATCCTCTATTCACTCCAAATTAGCCAGCAGATGTTACCTTTCCCTTTAGCTTTTGTGGAGATTTATGTCGCTGTTGTGCGTGTGTGTGTGTAGCTTAGGTAGAGGAGGCAATGTGGCTGATGTATTTAAGCACTGCGGATTTCAGTTTGGGTCATCAGTCATCGAGCAACAGTTCAACAGCTAAAGCAACACAGCTTTTTTCCTAACTAAACTATAACACTAAAAGCCTAAGCATAAACATGAAGATCTTTGTGGTACGTGTTTATTAAAGAAAACAAAATAAATAAATTAAAAAATTATTAAAAATAAGAGCTTTTAAAAAATCAATTAAATTAAAAATAAATTTAAAAATTAAGAACTCAAAAAAAAAAAACAAATATATCATACAGAGAACATTTTCCCCTCTCTGAAGTGTAACAATTTGTGCATTGTGACAAACAAGTTCGCTATCGCTAAAGTGAAAATGTAATCGGAAAAATAATTCCACCTCAGAGGAGAGCTAATAACTACGGAGATAATCTACTCATTCAAGAATTTCGTGGAAATCATCTGTTTGAATATTCGGTGCCAAATATGGATAATTTGTGAATTGAGAATTCCACCACTACTCCCAGAGGATTGAATATTTAACCGATACATTTTCAAAAAGATTCAAAGATTATGGATATTTTATTCACCTCTTGAATAACTTATTAGAAAATAGAATTCGAAATTTTATTAAAAAAAACTCCAATATTCACCAACCGCTTTGAGGAGTCTTCACAATGGATAATACGTAGATGTCTTGAATATGAATTTCACCACACACAATTTAGAGTGAAAACATTTAATCAAACTTAAGAAAATATCACCCTGGGTCAAGCAAAAAATATTCAACATACTTGAAAAATACTCACCACTTTTAAAAAATATTCACCACATTAGGAAAAATGACCATAACAGTGAATTATACATTCCTCCTAAAAAATATCACCTTGGGTCGAAAAAAAATATTCACCGTACTTGAAAAATACTAACCACCCCTAAAAATATTCACCACAGTAAGGCATATTTGTCAAACAATATTAGGAAGAGGGTTTTAAGTCATAAGAAAAAATTATTCACCACTTTGGTAAATAAAAAAATAGGTCAAAAAGTGGAATTCACCATTCTGAACATAATGCGTTATTAACTTAAGCGAATATTTCATGAAACTAAAGAGAAAAATATTCCCCACAGTCGAAAAAAATATTCACCACACATGAAAAATATTCACCATAGTATACAAATATTTCACAATTGTGTATAATGCACACCTCTAATGTTTTATCGATTACATACCCAAGATTATTCACCACTCTAGATAAGATTTTATTCACCACGCTTGTATATGTTCTCACCATAGTAATAAATTTTATTTCACAACAGTGTTTAATAAGTATCCCACATTTTTTATCAGTAACGCACCAAAAAGTCAAAAATAAAAAATTCACCACGGTTGTAAACATTTTCACAATAGCGCATAACAAAGCCCATTTAAAATTTTACTCATTTTTTACACTATTATCCAGAAACATTCTAAATGATTTTTATAAAATATATTCACCACTTTGGTGAATAGTAATAAAATGAGTCCAAAAGCGAATACATTTGCAATTCAACTGCTATGATATTAACCCAAGAGAAGGTTTTGGTTTAATTATCATAAAAAAAACGATAAAATCGATATTCACCATGGCTAAAAAATATTTATACACATTTGAAATAATATTCACCATGGTCAAAAAAAATGCTGTTTTTGTGTCGATAACACATCCACCATTATCTATAAACATTCAAAAATGCAGAAAGAAGATTTTTATAGCAAACAAAAAATATTCACCACTGTGGTGAATAATTACAAATAGTTCCGATTGAATAAGAAAAAATTCAATTCCATTGAACAGAGAAGAAGTAATAAATGACAGAAGAGTAAATTTTATATTCACCATAGTGAATTTTTAAATTCACCATAAGGAATTTTATACATTCACCAAAGGAATTTTATATATTCACCTTAAGGAATTCACCATAAGAAATTTTTTATTTATCATAGTAAATTTTATATTCACCATAGTGAATTTTATATTCTCCATCGTGAATTATATATTCACTACAGTGAATTATAAATTCTCCATAATGCATTCTTAATTCACCATAGTGAATTCTATATTCACCATAGTGAATTCTACATTCACCATAGTGAATTCTATATTCACCATAGTGATTTATATAAATGTTTACCATAGTGAATATTATATTCACCATAGTGAATTTTATATTCACCACAGTGAATTATATATTGACCACAGAGAATTATTTTCTTAATTCACCATAGCGAATTCTTAATTTTCCATAGGGAAATCTTTATTCACCATATTCATTTATGTCATGAACCATATTCACAATCAGCACATTCACATTCAGCACATTCGCCACAGACAAAATGCATAAGAAATTCACCACAATGTATTTTATATACCTTAAATTTTATTCCACATTCACCACGGAATCAACCTATTAATTTCTTCTCATTTCCTCCTCACATCCCTTTTAGACACTTTTGGTAGCATCCACCATGGCTATGGCCTCCGCCGATGTCAGTTTGAAATCCAGTTACAACTACAATGGCAACAGCGGCTATTATGGACAACAGCAGAGCCTTATCCCCTCCTCCATCCTGAAACCCAGCCAACAATATCTTCCACAACAGCAGCAACAGCTTGGCTTCCAAACCCTGGGCTCCCAAAGCCAACGTTATATCGTACCCTCCAGCCAACAACAGTCGCAACAACAATCCATTGTTATGCGTTTCCCCATGCCTGCCGATTTCCCTGCCAATTTCAATTTCCAACCTACCTTTGCCAGCAAGCCCACCCGTCGCTACCGCCCCCGCCAACGTATGGTCAAGAAACCAATTGTAACCAAGAATTTCTTCATTCACTCCGCTCCCGAAGAGACTCAAGCCGAAATCGATGAAGAATTGGCTCAATTGCAACAACAACCCCGCAAACATTACAACGTCCTGTTTGTGAAGACACCCAGTCAGACCAACAAGGCTGCTGCCATCAATTTGGCCAAGGCTCTCAAAGAAGAAAAGACCGTTGTCTATGTTTTGGCTAAGAAGACCTCCGCCGCCGATTTGCAAGATGCCATCCAAGAGGCACCTCAACACATCAACAAACCTGAAGTGTTCTTCATCAAGTACCGCACTCCCGAAGAAGCTGCCAATGCCCAACGTCAAATCCAATCTCAATACGACAGCTTGGGAGGTTCCACCACCATCACTGATGAAGGTGTTGCTCCCAGTACTTCTGTTATTGGTTCTTTGGATGCCTCCGCCGAGGAAGAAGATGAAGAAGAGACCAAGCAACAACAATTGCAACAGGAACAACAAGCCAGCGGTGATTATGGCGTGCAACAGCCCCAACAGGTTCAATACGATGAACAACAATTGGTGAATGCCATCCAAACTGCTGCCGCCACAAATGGCGGCTATTTGCCACCCTCCAATCAGTTCTAAGAAGATCTTCGTTGTTAGATACCCCCTCTTAATGTTATTTAGTTAGTTATGAAAGCTGTTACGATGATTGATTCGTCATTACGCCCCTTAGGCGTATCCAAAGTTTAAAGCCATCTCGCTTAGGGTGTAATGAAATCGATCTGGTTTGTTAGACATTTTTTTGTTTTAGTCTAAGTTTTAGGTTAAGTTTCATTTACACATGCAAACAAAAAATCATTTAAGTTTTTTTTTTCTCAAAATCAATCACATCAAATAAAAATAATTTGAAAATTTATAAAAAATGTTTTTCTTTCGATTTTGCAAATATGTTACGATGTCTGGCGAAGAGTTCTCAAGAAAAGAATAGATTTAGGCCAACACGAATAGATGGTACTCTGGGTACCAAATGCCCCAACTCTTCATCATTTTGTTTTCATTGATTTAATGAATCGTAGCATTAATATGATGAAATGTTTCATTAAATCAATGAACTCTTCATTTTATGAAATTTGTTCATAAATTCTATGAATTCATACATTGTATAACATTTTATGATTAATTGAAATATTTGAATAAAACAATGAAATTATTTCATTAAAGTAATGAAAAGTTTGCATTGCGATAAGTACCTTCTTATACATTAACTTTAAGTTGAAGGGGGAATTTACCCAGTTAGCGATCAAATACAATCAACCGTATTTGATCGCAATGTCTTTATAAATATAAAGACTATAGACTCCAGATGCCTTCGAACCATACCGGTCTCAGTCAATTTCTAATCGAAATGGTCCATCCGTTGAGTTATATTTTCGATAACTCTTTGAGTTTATCCCTACGTGAAATAAGTTTAACGCCGTCTTATTACCATGCGAACACCACGAAATATTGGTCCTAGACCCACCTTTAAGTAAGATCGTCATATTTCGACTAGCGATCCGTCCGTCTGTCCATTATAATTTGTAAACACGGTACGAAATTTTGCATGTAGGATGGGTTCTGGCCAATGGACCAAAAACTGAATTTTTGTCTGATTTTTCTTGTCGCAAGGGGATCGGGCCAAAGGATAAGCATGCCTTTTTTGATACAGATCTTTCAATATTTAGCGGGTCAAATGGGCACTGACTTTTGTGTGAAAAATGACAAAATTAGTATTCTATGACGCATATATTTACCCCTGAAGGACATAGACCCGATAAGTTGATAATATATCCAAGAGGAGTGATTGACCTCTACATTGATACCAATTGTATTGTCGTATGTACACGGATGTGGGAGTTACACTTCAATATTTACCGGTTGTTTACGTATTCATATATTATTACCACACTAGAGGGCGGAAATATAGCGCTGATCGCTTTGAAATTTTCCATGAGGATCAAGGACAACGCCTATAATTTTCGGTGATGATCAGATAATAATATTGGGATGAAGTGGACCGAAAACCTATTTTTTGTGTTTTTCTAGTCGACCACAATTGAAAGCCGAACACCACAACCCACGGTTAAGGGAATCTGGAAAAGTAATTAAAAGAGGGTGCAAATATCGCGAAATATTTCCCAAGCTCAGAATATAGAACCACAGAAAGTTAGATTTTCGTCGAAGTTGTGTAGGGTATCATATGGTCGGTCCCGTCCAACTATATTGCTCCGCTCACTGGTTTCGGCTTAAGGTCATTGAAAATTAAAAAGATTTTTGGTTTATTTTTTAATTTATTTTTATTGTTCCAATATTTCTACACATGCTAGGTCAGGCTCTTTCGTTTATCTTCTTCCTATAGATCCAGTCATTCATGTTTGCTCTCGTTCACTTAGCTTCTTTTGATGTAATCTTTCATCTAAATCTTCCCGTTCATTGGCCGCGTACCAAATGTACGATTAAACTATAAAGAACTAAATGAAGGGCCTAGTTCATGTTGCTGACCGAACCGCTTCAGGAACCAGATTGACCAACTCTAACCAATGTGGTAGCTAGTGGCGTCGATCATAATATCAATCGACTGTGAAACATCTCGAGCCAGCATATCAGTTATTTCATTCTTTGACCGATTCGATTGCCTTCATTATTGCTAGGTTTTGGTATTGAAAAATTTAAATATTGTTAACCAAACAATTTTTCTGGTACAGTTGTGTCCAAAATATTTAGTTGATAATCGAAGTCTAATGAAGATGTAAACATGTTCCCATTAACTTAGAAAACGTGTTTGTGATCAAGTTTCCGTTAGCAGAGAGGCCACGTGGTCGGCGCAGCAACAGAGGTTCAACACCGGGAAAACGACTGGAAGCATCCTGAGCGAGGGTATAAAATGAAGAAACAAGTTAGACTCTTGATGTGTCGATGCAGAGCGGCCAACCTTTCAGGAATCTACGTAGTGAAATTACCATCGGAGAAAGAACGCATTAGCGGTGAGTGTACAATTGGTGAAGAAAGTGATGTTAATCTATCGAAACAATAGCTGTTGTGGGCTTCTGATTATAAGTGATTAACCTTGTAAAATTACAGAGGCGTCGTGGGTCTTTCGTTTAATGTAAGTTTTAACAAATCGTAATTATTTAGAAGTATTTTTTACCGAATCGAAATAAAGACCTGTCTTGGGTATTTTATTGAAGAAAAGTGATTTTAATCGAACCGAAATAAAGAGCCGTTGTGGGAATTTTTGTTTAAAAATAATTTTAGCAGAGTCGAAATAAAGAGCCATCGTGTGACTTCATATAAAGTGTTTTAACCGTGAAGAGCCATCGATGCCTAGATCGAAAGCAGTGTGAGTGATCGTGAAGTTAAGAAGCCGTCTGGGACCGCTGCCCACCCTCTTAAGAAGCATCGAACCAAATTCCATCACGTAGCCAGCAATTTGTAGTACCAACAGTCGTACCGGAGCAGTAACCGAACAGACCCAGACCTTGCTGACATCAATCTCCTCAATTTAAGTATATGGAATTTATATATCAGTTTAAGTTTATACATAAAGCGTAGTTCTCTGAATTTGAAACCTAAATCCACATCTTTTCACTCTCGTTCACTTCAGTACAAATTTTCTGTGAGGAACCCTACCTCCCGGTAGCATATCCCAGCAACTGAAGGAATCTTGTCGTTACAAAGTAAAGTACCAACAAACTTTTAAATTTTTTTCTTGAAATCTTTATTTTCTCCTTAAAACTATTTTTTTTATAAAATATATTTTAAATTCATTTGTTCGCTAAATTTTACAGTATTTTTTTTCCTCTCCTTAATATAAAATATTTGTTCGCAATGGCTTTAGATCCATTTCACGTCGCTCCCTACACTTCAATGACTAGCAGCTACCACTACCAGCCATATTGGTCAGAATCCAATCATGATAATAGGCCACACTGGCAAATACATCTGGATACCCTACAGCACAGGGTTCACCCCAATTTACAATACCAACCAAAACCTTATTGACATCATCATAGAGTGGGCCACCGGAATCATTATGGCAAGAACCCTTACCATTTTTCGTGTCGGTACAAATATGACCAGTTCCCAACCATTGGGCTTTCTTTACCGCCGTCGAGCACTTATCATGATCCATATAATCCAAATCGGCACTTTGTAAAATATCAGGGGTGCGACCCCATAGCTTAATGCTACCCCAGCCGGAGAGGGTCAATTTATCACCTTCTTTGAGGGTATTGCTGGTGGCCAATTCCACAGGTTGAGTTTTTTCATTGTAGACAATAGGTTTCGAGAGCTTGATCAGGGCAATATCATTGTGATACATTGGTTTGTTGTACAGACAATGGATCTTCACATCTTGTACTAAATATTCAGCATCGGGTTTAGTCCAATTCACAGTACCGGTAACAATTTTCAAATACTGCTGTGGCCATTCCAAACAATGAGCAGCAGTTAAAATCCATTCGGGGGAAATAATGGAACCACCACAAATATGTTCTCCAAATGTTGTTTGTATTGACACCTGGAAGGGTATGGCACCCTCGGGAACATCTGAACCACCAATGACACGGGTATCTATTAATTTCGATATGCCACGACCTTGTGCCAGTGAACTGAATACGGTCACGGCAATTGTTATGGTTAGAAATAGTTTCATTTTTTTTTTGTTTTCCTTTTTCGAAGTTCCGATTTTTTACTTCGTGTTACTTTCTTTCACTTCACTTATTAGAATGTTTGCAAATATTTGCTTAATTTTTACTTTTATAGCATGCCGGTAATTTTCTTTTAAGCAGAATGTATTGGGGCTTCACAAGAGTCCATGATAATCGTCCAATAAAAACAAACAGAACTCACCTGCTGGCCCGCCCAGATAAGGTATGTGACTAAGGAGGGTGGTGGGTTAAGGTTGTTTTTATCACACTTGAGCTGTCAAATAAAACGATTAGCATTTTTTGCGGAAGTTTTTTTCGGTTTTCACTGATAACGCCAGCATAGACTACTACTAAAACCTAAAGAAGTTCTTCCGAACAGCTTACTAATAATTGATAAGATATTTGTAAATTAGTAGTGTAGTTGGAATCGATTTGTTTGCGAAGTTTTCTGTTTCTACGTTTTTAGCATATAGACCAAAACAATAAATTAGTCATTGGCGATTTTAATACGGCTGTGATTAATAATCTACGGTTCCGAAGAAGCCACTTCAAACATTTGACTAATGGTTTGTTTATTTTTTTTGCAGGTATATCAAAGTCCAAAATGACAACAATTTTAAAAAATTTATTGTAAGTATTGAATGGATTGATAAGCCTTGAAAAAATATTCTTTAAAAAATCCACGCCTATGATAAGCCTTGAAAAAATATTCTTTAAAAAATCCACGCCTATGATAAGCCTTGAAAAAATATTCTTTAAAAAATCCACGCCTATGATAAGCCATGAAAAAATATTCTTTAAAAAATCCACGCCTATGATAAGCCTTGAAAAAATATTCTTTAAAAAATCCACGCCTATGATAAGCCTTGAAAAAATATTCTTTAAAAAATCCACGCCTATGATAAGCCTTGAAAAAATATTCTTTAAAAAATCCACGCCTATGATAAGCCTTGAAAAAATATTCTTTAAAAAATCCACGCCTATGATAAGCCTTGAAAAAATA